GCCTGTAAAGTGGATCAATCTCGTTCAGCCATCAACGGCTTGAAGTGCAGCCCTTTCTCTTCTGGGATCATTGACGCCGTCACCCTCTCGTGGCCACATTTGGTACCAGCAAAGTGACCGTTTCTGACACTGGAAGGGGAACCGCAATCTTCACTTACTTCGGCTATTTATTCATGAGCACCAAGGATGAAAAAGACAGACACAAAGTATAGCTTTATAGCAACAGCTTTAACTGGGTTTTTTTTTTGCCACTCAAGCCTTAAATCCACAAGGATGTCTGTCATTCATCCTTGTGGGTTTAAGGTTTATCATTCATCTCTCAGCTGCTGGTTTGTACACAGTACCTCAATTGTTTGCACACCAGGTAAACCACAAATAACACACCCTTTTCCTTGTCTCTGAGGAATAGTGTACTTTGTTGTAATGTATGCTTGAGTATAATATAATGAGGCAGTGCTGTTTATGGGTGAAAGTTTCCAATTGTTTGCAAATAAGTACACGTAAGCAAAACAGGCCTGGTTTCAATTACATTTGTACAGCACCTTTCATGTCTGAAGGACGTCCAGGTTTCAGTGTAAAACGGTGCACAGAGAATCAATCAATCTGTCCCGTGTACCTTTTTTTTGGTCAGCCGGGAGTCCGCCACACGCAGAAACACATCGCCAAGCTTAAAACAACCTCCAAACCAAACTCAGGAGAGATCCATTAACTTATAGCTTCCGTTTGCAACGGAGTGCGCAACAATAAACAGCTTCTGGTTAAATTGCCGGATTCGTGAAAGGCTGCGCAATCAGCAAATCCCGCAGGTGTTATGCCAACCAGTCTGGAACGCTCCTGACTCCATGAAGCGCTCTGGGACGCCACCGTGCGTGAGTGAGTGGAGCTATATAAAGCAGAAGACCAGCGTCCAAGTGGATCAGCCTGAGTTTATAAGCTATTTTTCAGACAAACTCAGATTTTTATTGGTTCCGCGCGTTTAAACCAGGTTTAAGCCTCAGGTGTGTTTGGCCATCCGGGTTGGCAGTTCCCCACTAAGACACTGGGTGGTGCAATGGCACAAAGCCTCAAACCGACCCCCAATGTGACACAGAATCAATAATTCAGATTAAAATAAAAGTCTTGAACCGAATGATGGATTTTTTTTTTCTGGACCGGACACCGGCAGAAACTCCCTTCTCTTTTCGAATCATGCCCACGGGAATCTTTAATGTCCCACCTGAACAGAGGGCACAGAGAGCTGCAACAACAAACAAACAAACAAACAAACAAACAACAACAACTGCTTTTATGCATTTATATAGCGCCCCTCACTCAGGGTAGCATCTCAGAGCGCTTAATGCTTTAAGCGCCTCGGTTTAACATCTCATCCGAAGGATTAGCACCACTAACGATGCAGCGCTACCCCAATGTTAAGTTGGAGCGTGAGTTCAAAGTCCCGAACCGGGGGCTTAAGCCCACACTTCTGCCTAAGAGGCTATTGGGCAAGTCACACCCAGGCTCATGCGGAGAAAGGCAACTGCTCAGTAGACTCGATGGGCCAAATGGCCTGCTTCTGTACAGTAATATTCCATGATCCAACTGAAATTCCTGACGTGCCGATTGAAAGTGTCGGGTCTCTGTGTGCTCAGTTACCTGCCCGCTGTTCAGTCGCTCGAGCTGAACGATCCTCGTTTGGCCAAATTTATGCTGCTTTGTCCCCAGAGCACAGGTTCACCAGAGCGGTTAGTTAGCCACTCGTTCCTCCCTGCCTTCGTTGACCCTCAGACTAATCAAATTAATTTTTCACCTGATCAGTCATGCAGTTCATCTCCTCACCCATTAATGTACGTCAGCATGGAGGAGTGTCAGCTCAGCTCAGCTCAGCTCAGCCAGGAGAACCTCTCTCACCCTGGGTCAGAAAGTCGTAGGTTCATGCTTCACGTCGGGACTTTGAACTCATAGTCAAAACCGATGCTCCGATGCGGTGCGGGGCTGGGCATGTGCTGCATTGTCTTAGGTGCCGTCCTTCAGATGGGACGTTCCATCGAGGTCCTGTTCTGTGCCCGTTCAGGTGAAAGCTAAAGATCCTGTTGCACTATTTAAAAAGAGAAGAGAGTTTGTCTCCCAGTGGCTGTCAATCCTCCAGATAAAACCGGTCACTCACTTCGTTGGCTGTTTCGGGGGCATTGCTGCGCGTAAATTGGCTGCCGTGTGAAATGGATAATAACATCTGATTTCACACCTACAATGTCAAAGTCTTAAAAGCGCGTGAAAGGCAATTGCTGTTGAGGTTAATGACTGAGCGTCTCTAGGCACACACGGATAAACACCAGCAAAATCTCGTGCTGGAAGTTTGAGATAGGAACAACTTGCACTTTCACATAGGATAGAAGGACGTTTCACTTTTAAGCAATCTTATCACACTGAAATGTCTCAAAACTTTTGGAACAAAGTACAGAGCAACGACACGACATTGCGTGGAGTATAACCACCGGCGAGGACTTGTTGGGCTGAGTCACCTGTTTCCGTGCTGTACATTCTTTGCGAATCATTTTGTGTCGCAAGAATTTCTCCTGCTTTGAATCCCATCTTTCAGCTTTCACTCTGCGATGCTGATCGCGCTGTCACTCCAAATCCCGGAGTCTGGAGAGCGTAAAACCCCCCCTATTAGGCATTTGCGGATAAATTAGGGTCGGGACGGTGTCGGAACGTAAACGTGCGGGAACGGAGACGGGTCTTTGACGGCTCCCGCCACACGGTTCAACGGCACGGCACGTTTGCTCGAAGTAAAGTGTAATTAATTTGGCAGCAAAAGTAATGCTATTAATACGGACTGAAATGCGCTGAATTGATGCGCGCCATGAATGCGCGCTGGCGTGGGTCGCCTGCTAACTATAACGTGAACTGCAACTGTAATAAGTAGCAGAGGAGCTGTTCCAGCTGTCATCTGATTACTCGAGTGGATCCTCGCCACATGATCCTCCTGTGTAAGAGACAACTATGCGATACCATTTACAGCTAATAATAATCCTTGCGATGGATATAGCGCCTCATCACGTCGTCCAGATCCCTCAAAGCTCTTCGCGACCACAAATGACACGTGTGCCAGCGCCTCTCACGCCGGGAGGAGGTCCCCCAAGGCGCTGAACAGTCTCAGGGATTTGGACCCGAGCCGAGGCTGGTGGATCAGGAGGGGCTGGAGGGTGGGGAGGGTAGGAGAGTGGCCGAAGGCGCAGGCCAAGAGGAGGGTCCTGAAGGAGGCAAAAGTGGGCCCAAGGCGGAGGGACTCTGGGATGGAGTTTCAGAGGTGGGGGCAGAGACCGTTGATTGGCGGAGCGAGATGGTGCTTGTTTTATAGAGGATCACTACTGCACAAGAGGAAACCAGTGGACTTTGGATGCATATCAGAGCACGTGATCACACTCTACCCCCCACCCCCCCACCCCCCCACACACACACCCCCACACCCCACCCCCCCCCACACACACACCCCAACCACTACCTAATGATAAGAGGAACTGTTTATTACATCACAAGCTATGGTTTGAATTTCATTCAAATTCCTTTCCCTGGATGAGAGAGAGAGAGAGAGAGAGAGTGATGGCAGAGGGGGTGGGGATGGTATTGGGGCGATGTGGCGATGTGGCCATAGCGTCAGAACATTTGCCTCGCAAATGAGAGGACCCGGGGGGCACCAAGTCCGGGCGAAACCTTAGGTAAGTTTCTTTCCTCCCCCCCCCCCCCCCCACACACACACACACACACGCCTCTGTTTACCAGCAGGAACCCGGTTGTAAGTCGATTGGCGGATGGCTTTTCCGGGGGTAATAATAATCCCGTCAATAAATAAACAAACAAACAAACAAAATAATTTGGTGTCACTCAATCCACCACTGTGTGGGGGGGGTGGGGGGGAGGTGGGGGGCGTCGCTGGGCACAATTCTCTGCCGCGTTTCGGTCCACAAGAACGCACAGTCACTCCGCTCTCAACAGCCATATCCTGTGAAGCGCTTTGAGGCGTCTCGAAGACGTGACGAGGCATCGGGTCGAATGCGAACGCATCGTTATCACAGTGTTGGGAGGTGGAGAGAAGGAGGGGAGGGGGAGAGAGAGGGAGGGGGGAGAGAGAGGGAGGGGGAGTGATAGGGAGAGAGAGAGAAAGAGAGGGAGAGAGGAGAGAGAGAGGGAGGGGGAGAGGGGAGAGAGAGGGAGGGGGAGAGAGGAGAGGGGAGGGGAGGAGAGGAGGGAGGGGGGAGAGGAGAGGGGAGAGAGAGAGAGGGAGGGGGAGAAGAGAGGAGGGGGGGAGAGAGGGAGAGAGGAGGAGAGAGAGAGGGAGGGGGAAGAGAGAGAGGGAGGGGGAGAGAGAGGAGGGGGAGAGAGAGAGAGGGAGGGGAGAGAGGAGAGGGAGGAGGGAGAGAGAGGGAGGGGGAGGGGAGAGAGAGAGGGAAGGAGAGAGGGGGGGGGAGAAGAAAAG